AATTTTAGGTATATGTTGCATAATAATTTTTAAATTTTTAAAACTATAGATTGATTGGRACAATCCTGTTTAAGTATTTACCTTAAACGTCGGCATAAAATTATCTCTAATAATGTTAGTAGCACCAAAAGAAGTCATTTGAAATGCCGAATTTTATTGTTGAATATGAATTTTCATACGAATTTTCAGAAGTCCCAAAAATTAAGGAAGACAATGGTTCGGGTGGAGTTTCTAATGGCGGCAATCTCACTTTACCATTAGCACAACACATTCCGGGCGTTTCGCCTGGAAATTTAGCCGCATCACAATGTGGACATATTGCGTCCATTATTCCAATATATCCGTACATACTGTAATTAATCCGACTGTTTTAATTAAAAGCAGCACGCATAATTTCAGGTACAACAGATCCATTTCGTGCATTACGTTCACGCTGCGATGCATTAGCTTGTGCTCGTTCATCTGGAGTCTGTGATCGCCTTTGTAATGCCGTAGCATTTGCACGACGCGTTCGCCGACCTATATTTCCTCGTGTGGGTCGTGGCATTTCTCTTTCAATTAAAAAAGAATAAATTAAATTTAAAAAAATGCCTACATTAATAGTGGTACACCATATGTTTTTTCAAATAAGGAAACACATACATTCGTGTAATTCACTTCAACAGTTCAAAACTTATTTAACTTTATTTTTTCACAAATTCACACAAACTTCAATAGAAAAAATTAAGAAAAAACTATAATAACTAACTTTTCAAAGCCTACTTTGTTTGTCGATCTGCCTGCTACATACATACCTACATGGTGGGAATAATAAGTATGCTAGTTAAGACGAAAGTTCATAAATTTTGAGAGCGAAAGAGCGTAGCTAAGTAGGTAACAAATCGTTTAGTAWATGATTAAACTATTATTGATGTATGTTAATATGAAAACGTATAATCCGCTGGCTAAGTGGGACGAATCTGACCAAACAAAYGGGTTTTTGGTTTGTTTTTAAAAATAATTTCACCATACCTTGAGCGCTTTTCAGCTTTCCAAGTAGGTACGAGTTAAATAAAAAAAAAATGTAACATACATATGTGTGGTAAAATTTTTGAAATATTTTGGCCGATATCTCGAGACCCTAGTCACGGAGCTGGATCAAAAATACTCTATACTATAGAAATCATCAACAGCTTCCATTTGCTGCCCATATTGTACAAACAATATAGGTCCACGTTTGGCCTATTTTTCGAGACCCTGGTATCCGATTCTTAAAATTTCAAAACACAAACCATCTACTGAATAGTCCAGACAAAGCCTAAAAATTTGGTTTGGATAGGTGAGCCCGTTCTTGAGTTATAAAGTCACAACGAAAAATGGCATTAATTTTTATATATATAGATATATTCGGCATAAAATTTGAAAAACGAAACTCATTATAGGTAGTATATGGGAGTTGAGCTAGTATCGACCCGATTTTAGCCATTAACTATTATTATGCCATTAAAGTACCTCACCACACAATAACCAATCATATGGAGTAAAGTCAACCGGATGTTCGAAAATCCTGGTTATGTTTATATGACGGCTAAAATCATAATTCTTCCGAGCAGCCTATTTTGATCTAATTTTTAATATAATTATTTTGTATCGCATCCATTTCCAGTCTGAAAGGTATTTTATGTTCACAATACTACTGTTTCAACTACAAAAAGTGTGATATACGTATACACAAATTGATTTGTACTTGTAATTCTTGTTTACGGTATTGGAAAACAAGCTTAATTTATATTTGAATTATAATCAGCATGTCTAATTTCAGATGATAAAAATCGAGTTTTATTGGATGTTGATGACGAAGGTTCCGACTATATTAATGCGTCTTTTATTGACGTAAGTAAATGCGTTAATCAGATTTTATGCTAAGGTTTAGAATTTGAATATTTATAGGGTTATAAAATAAAGAAAGAATACATCGCTTCACAGGGTCCCAAACCTGAAACCACTATAGATTTTTGGCGTATGATTTTGCAGTATAATGTTCGTGTAATTGTAATGTTAACTCAATTTCAAGAAGGAGCAAATGTAAGTATATATACTTATGTATACTTTTTTTTCGACGTTTTATAGTATTCAGTTGATATATTTCAATGCCTTAAGATTAAAAATTGTTATTTGTATAACCTTTTCTTAATTTTTTTATAAAAAACAAAAATCGTTGGAAACTTCTATTTCTACATATTCTATTTTGGCGATCTGGCAAAAATGTAGATGGCGCTACTAGAAACAAATCCATATGACTTTTAGTTAGCCCTAACCTTCAAAGGACGCGAATATAAATTTGACATCTCTGTGCAAAGTTGTTGCCGCACGAGATCACTTTTGACCAAAAACAACGACGAGCTGATGATTTGGAACAGTGTATAGTTATTGGACTTGTACGGAGGCGCGGCCATAAATATTTTCCCTTGAGATATCGTTATGAAATTTTCCAGAAAAATCGAGAAAACATTTTGTTTTTAAATTGGCTAAAACGGACGACTATATCCTGTAGCTCCCATAGCATCGTAGTGAGGCTTAAATGTTAATGGTGTGAAAAAATACTTCCAGTGTACTATATTTAACTTATCTTTTCACAAGCAATATAAACAAATGAGGTTCTTTAGCTCTTTTAATCATAAATAAGATACATTTATTTTAATTATAAAAGTAAAATTTTAATGAATTTTAAATTTAATGAAAACATTTATTTTGCCAATATGCGAGACATTTTCCGAGATTCTTACAGCCGGCACTTCTTCATTTCTGTATTGTTGGACTTCACAACTGCCTCTCAGAGCTCTCTATTTTACAGCAAAGCGAGTTCTATCACCTGCGCACCGTGAATTAGAATTTTATATGTATACTGTTGCTGGAAGATAGTACCATGGATATTTTTTATTCTTCTGCATTCGTATCCTTTTCTGTACACCAAAGATCAAAGATGTAGGTACAGTCACTCACATTGGAAGTCGGGCAAACGCAAAACAAAATTTCTACTTATAATAAAATTGTAATGAAAAAAGATATTCAACTCGACCTTCTTTTATTTTATTAAAAAAGTCTTACTGTTAAAAAACAACAATATTATATATTCAAAGAAACATAAAACTTAACGCATGTAATAAAAACTGTGCTAAGGCCATATTTTGGCCTTACATTGAAAGTCGGGCAAGACGTAAAAGACATAAATATTTAAAAATTTACATACAAAAAAATAATTTTTAATATTTTGTGGCTCCACCCTTTTGATTTTCTACTGCTTGCAGTCTTTTCGGCATTGATTCAACCAGATTTTTGCAAACATTCGGACTAAGCTTCTTCCAATCCTCTTGTAAAGCATTCTTCAACTGGTCCTTCGATGTGCACATCCTGTTTTGCATCCTGCGTCCTAATTCGTCCCACAAATGTTCAATTACATTGAGGTCCGGACTTTGTGCAGGAGTTTTGATTACTTTTGGGCAGTTATACAACAACCAACTTCTTACATCAACGCCGACTGTTTTGGGTCGTTGTCCTGATAAAACTGAAAGTTGTTTTCAATACCAAGTAATTGCACGCTCTCTTTCAAATTATTCTTCAAAATCGCCAAATATACATATTTGCTCATTATGTCATCTATAAAATGTAAATTTCCAACTCCTGAAGCTGCTATACACCCTCAGACCATTACTGAGCCACCACCGTGCTTCACTGTTTTCCTTAAATTTTTGGCATCAAGTTCTTGATTTACTTTACGCCACACTTTACCTCTTCCATCCATAGTGCAGTTTTGTTACATGCGTTAAGTTTTATGTTACTTGGAATATATAATTTTGTTGTTTTTTAACAGTAAGACTTTTTTTTTAATAAAATAAAAAAAGATCGAGTTGAATATATTTTTGCATTACAATTTTATTATAAGTAAAAATTTTGTTTTGCGCTTGCCCGACTTTCAATGTGAGTGACTGTATATGCACAGTTACAAAAAGCGCCTTTAGAAAACGATAACATAACTAGTAATTATTTTGTGTTGCCGCACGAGATCACTTTTGACCAAAAACAACGACGAGCTGATAACCAACTAGGCAGCGGCATCTTCCAAATTAAGGGACCGGACATTCCAGATACATGCCTTTAAATAGATGGTCGTAATGCGTTTGCTGCGGTCGTCATCAAAAAAAGAGTTTCTCTTCCGAGGTTGTTGGTAATTTTTTTGTGATATCATAAAAAAAGTGTTCATGGTGTACATGTTTTTATATTCGCTCCGTGTATTCTGATTTTGCAAAAAGTAAATAAACTATAATAATATATTAAAAACAAATAATCAAATAAAAATCAGTGCTCACAAATTAGTTATATTAAATACAATGCACGCAATAAAAAGATTTGCCATTTGACCACAGTCGTGAAAATCTAATCTATTTGCGTGAGCGTAGCTCAAGTGCGCTTGTTTCCAAAATAAGCAATAAAATAGGCACAAACAATTTTTACATTGTGTCCTTGAAAAAAGTTAACAGAGATAAAACAAAAATTCAAACAAACACTGAAAAAAGTTTCATGGATGTCGTAAAATTTGTATCAAATAATAATAATAATTACTACTCGTACCAACTAAAGAGCTCTAAAAGCCTAGTTGTTGTTATAAAATGGATAGAGTCTTCGGTAGACTCCAACGATATAATCAGTAGTAAATATTTTTAACACAAATAAGGTATCACAACCAATGTTTAAAATAAAACGGATGCCAAATTCTAATCAACCAAAGAAAAACGAAATCATACTGTACCTTACGCAGTGTCTGCGCAGTGTGTTGTGATTTATATCCCACATCCAAATGTAAAGAGAATTTAAATAAAAAATGTAGAAATTGTGGAGGAAATCACACTACAAACTATATGTTATATAAAGACTTAAAATCAAAACTGTCTGTCGGAATTCAAGTACCTCGTAACCAAATGTTAAATATTTCTCCTAATGAAAATATTGAAATGAATTGTCCCAAAACCAACAATATGGTAGCGTTGAAACAATGATTTTCAACCTTACCCAATGATGACACAATTTATATCTACAATGCAAAATACAATTTAAGAGATAATCAATGCACATAACTAAATGTTGCAAACTTTTTAAGTAAAAAATTAGCGTATTGAACATTTGTTTATGGAATGCTAACGGGGTTAACCAACATGAATTGGAAATTACAAGATTTCTAGATGAAAATAATATTGATGTAATGCTATTGTCAGAAACTCATCTTGCGAATAAAAACAATTTCTCTGTACCTGGTTTCAGACTCTATGTTACAAAGATGGAAAGGCACATGGTGGAACTGCAGTGTTTGTTAAAAAACGATTAAATCACCACGCATCAGAATCTCATGCTACAGCGTAGGTACAAGCTACATCAATATCAATGAAAAATCGCTGCGGGGACTTAAACCAGACGGCCATATACCTCGATTTAAAATTACAGAAAACCAATCTAAAGCCTTTTTTGCAACACTGGGTCATAGATTTCTAGCAGGTGGAGATTACAATGCAAATCACACGTATTGGGGATCACGACTAATGTATCACACTATTATAAAGGGACACAATAACCTTGACATAATATCTCCTGGTAAGCTGACATATTGGCCTAGTGATCGTAATAAAATACCGGAAAATTTGATTTTGCTGTAATCAAAAAAGTTGTTAAATCGCAAATAACAGTTGATACATATGCTAACCTATCACCTGATCACTCTCCTGTACTAATAAAGATATGTAAACAACCCATATTTGCTGAACCAAAAGTGGGTCTAACATCTGATAAAAGGAGAACTGGATAAAATATAAAAAATTCGTCAGTAGCCACATTAATATTGAGTACAAAATAAGTACAGGAAGAAATATTGACGAATGCATAAAAGAACTCAATAATATAACAACTAATGCAGCTGTCTTAGCAACACCAAACAAAAGCTATGTAAAGGAATTGTGTCCAAATTCAAGCAAACTAAATTCCCTTTGGAAAGCCCAAAAGTCCATGAAGCCACCAATTGACTCCAACATACCTATACAAGACTTGGGTGGAAATTGGGATCGAAGCGACGAGGAAGATGCTAATAATTTTGCAAATCACCTCGAAAAGGTATTTCAACCTAATTGCCCAAAGAACAACTTTAAGCTGTCCAGCGTACCCAACAGAACTAACGAGTCACCCGAGTCTTTTAAGACTTTACCTTCTGAAATTATTATAATAATAAAAGAACTTAACCCAAAAAAGTCACCGGGGCATAAACCCAAAATATTGCTATAGAGGTGCTCTTTCTGCTCTTCAATGTAAATCTGAGTCTTGGATAATATCCAATTTCACGGAAAAAGTCGCAAGTTATCTTGATAGATAAGCCTGGGAAAGACTTAACACAGCCGTCTTCATTAATAAGGGCTTGTGTATCACAGGGCAGTGTTTTACTCCCAACTCTATACATAATATATATAGCGGATCTTCAAACCGCTAAAAACATATTGATCTCAACTTTTGCAAATGACATAGATTTAGTGAGCCGTAACAAATGCCACATTATATCATCAAAAATATTAGTGGAGAACTTGAGTTCTGTCAAAGAATGGCTAGCCAACTAGCGTATAAATGTGAATGAACAAAAGTGAAAACATGTTATATTTTCGCTTACACCAAAAATGAGCCCGACAGTAAAACTGAACAATATTTTAATACCCCAAGAGAATGAAGTAACGTATCTTGGTATTCACGTACATAAATAGAAGGCTTAAGTGGAGAAAAATAAAAGAAGAAAATTAAGTAAAAACTCCAAACTTAGCTAGACCACAAAGCGCTTTTATATAATGCGGTCATAAAACCGATTTGGATGTATTGCACTTTATTGTGAGATACGACCTGTGCAACTAATACTGACATAATATTTATACAATGGTTCCATTCAAATTTGGTACATACGTAATGAAAGTATCCATAAATATCTTGGTATTCCTATGGCAAAGAAAGAAATAGAGGGCAGTAAAATTAAATATATATCTGAACTCCGAGATCACCCAAAC